TGTCTCACACGGCAGAGAGATGGATAAGAGAACATCTGTAGTACACACAGCTGTTCCAGGAGATAACAGGTCTTCTCCCAGCTGCCAGCGTTCTGATTGGTCGAGTGCATCCTGCTGCCTTAACATGCTCAGGGAATGACGGCTTCACCTGCTGGTTGGGAGGTGAGCATCAAACATCTGATCTTTCAGCAAAAATAAAAAGTTTTTTAAGCTAATTTAACTTCAACTCAATGCAATAAAACGTGAAATAACTTGACATTGAACAATAAATGAGTCTGATAAAACCATCTTAGCAGTGAATAAACTGACGATGATATTTGGCTAATACCACAGTGACGGCCAGTTTAATGATGGGTATGGTGGTATTGAGTCTGAATATAAGGCCAGAAATGAAAGGCAAGACGAAATATGGACTCATTGGGAGGTATAACAAATGGTATGAATGATGTGCAGACATAATAGCTGGGCTTCAAAAAGGCTTAAAGCTGGGGCTGTCCATACACAACTTTTCAAATGGAGTAAAGCGTTATTTGATGAAGCACTGTCGCTCTTTAACATCATTTAAATGAAAGAAAATGCAATCTTTGTGTGGTTGGGGTTTATTTGCCTCTGATTTGGACATCCATGCTTGTAGCCCTCTCATACTTGACTGCTCTGGGAGTCCCGGGCTCCACATTCCAATAGTGCGATTATCGCTATCTAAATGTTCACCTCGGGCCCCGGCTACCTGTAGAATGTAGACGGGGACCAGCCAGCACATCTTAACTCTCCAGCTGCTCCTGCCTGTAAGTCTCGGGAGCTCCGCGGCTGGCAGAGCGTTGTCACAGGTTACCACAACACAAACACACACTACATACACATACTAAAACCACAACACAAACACACACTGCATACACCATACACATACTAAAACCACAACACAAACACACACTGCATACACCATACACACACTAAAACCACAACACAAACACACACTGCTTATACCATACACACACTAAAACCACAACACAAACACCCTGCATACACCATACACATACTAAAACCACAACACAAACACCCTGCATACACCATACACACACTAAAACCACAACACAAACACACACTGCATACACACACTAAAACCACAACACAAACACACACTGCATACAACATACACACACTAAAACCACAACACAAACACACACTGCATACACCATACACACACTAAAACCACAACACACACACACTGCATACACCATACACACACTAAAACCACAACACACACTGCATACACACACTAAAACTACAAAACACACACTGCATTCACCATACACACACTAAAACCACAACACAAACACACTGCATACACCATACACACACTAAAACCACAACACAAACACACTGCATACACCATACACATACTAAAACCACAACACAAACACACACTGCATACACCATACACATACTAAAACCACAACACAAACACACACTGCATAAACCATACACATACTAAAACCACAACACAAACACACACTGCATACAACATACACATACTAAAACCACAACACAAACACACACTGCATACAACATACACACACTAAAACCACAACACAAACATACACTGCATACACCATACACACACTAAAACCACAACACAAACACACACTGCATAAACCATACACATACTAAAACCACAACACAAACACACACTGCATACACCATACACACACTAAAACCACAACACAAACATACACTGCATACACCATACACACACTAAAACCACAACACAAACACACACTGCATAAACCATACACATACTAAAACCACAACACAAACACACACTGCATACACCATACACACACTAAAACCACAACACAAACACACACTGCTTATACCATACACACACTAAAACCACAACACAAACACCCTGCATACACCATACACATACTAAAACCACAACACAAACACCCTGCATACACCATACACACACTAAAACCACAACACAAACACACACTGCATACACACACTAAAACCACAACACAAACACACACTGCATACAACATACACACACTAAAACCACAACACAAACACACACTGCATACACCATACACACACTAAAACCACAACACAAACACACACTGCATACACCATACACACACTAAAACCACAACACAAACACACACTACATACACACACTAAAACCACAACACAAACACACACTGCATACACCATACACACACTAAAACCACAACACAAACACACTGCATACACCATACACACACTAAAACCACAACACAAACACACTGCATACACCATACACATACTAAAACCACAACACAAACACACACTGCATACACCATACACACACTAAAACCACAACACAAACACACACTGCATAAACCATACACATACTAAAACCACAACACAAACACACACTGCATACACCATACACATACTAAAACCACAACACAAACACACACTGCATACAACATACACATACTAAAACCACAACACAAACACACTGCATACAACATACACACACTAAAACCACAACACAAACATACACTGCATACACCATACACACACTAAAACCACAACACAAACACACACTGCATAAACCATACACATACTAAAACCACAACACAAACACACACTGCATACACCATACACACACTAAAACCACAACACAAACACACACTGCTTATACCATACACACACTAAAACCACAACACAAACACCCTGCATACACCATACACATACTAAAACCACAACACAAACACCCTGCATACACCATACACACACTAAAACCACAACACAAACACACACTGCATACACACACTAAAACCACAACACAAACACACACTGCATACAACATACACACACTAAAACCACAACACAAACACACACTGCATACACCATACACACACTAAAACCACAACACAAACACACACTGCATACAACATACACACACTAAAACCACAACACAAACACACACTACATACACACACTAAAACCACAACACAAACACACACTGCATACACCATACACACACTAAAACCACAACACAAACACACTGCATACACCATACACACACTAAAACCACAACACAAACACACTGCATACACCATACACATACTAAAACCACAACACAAACACACACTGCATACACCATACACATACTAAAACCACAACACAAACACACACTGCATAAACCATACACATACTAAAACCACAACACAAACACACACTGCATACACCATACACATACTAAAACCACAACACAAACACACACTGCATACACCATACACATACTAAAACCACAACACAAACACACACTGCATACACACACTAAAACCACAACACAAACACACACTGCATACACACAATAAAACCACAATACAAACACACACTGCATACACACAATAAAACCACAATACAAACACACACTGCATACACCATACACATACTAAAACCACAACCCAAACACACACTGCATCCACCATACACATACTAAAACCACAACACAAACACGCACAGCATTGTATGTTTAGCTAGAAGAGGGCCACAGTATAATACATCTGTTGGAGAGTTTATCTGTAGTACTTACTTGATGATCAGACTGAGAAAGCATCTGTTGTTCATCTGTCTCAGAACCAAGGTACCAAACCTCTCTTGCCTCCCATGGCCATTGGTCTCCCATATTAGTACCTCCACATACAAAGCAGTTAGTTATATTAAGACTACCTGCAATACTCTCAGCCAAATCAATAAATAGGTTCTTAACATTATGGGGAATTTTATCCTCAACACTCATCTCCTCATAGAAGGAATGAAAAACCTGATGAGTTTGAGAAGCTGTCATGTCACTTTCAAGTCCTACATATATTATGGTCCCTGGGTCTACTCCTGTGCCATATATTTGGAAACCCAAAGAGATTCCCAAACTTGTCAATGAAGTGCTGTGGATTGGAAAAGGTCATATGCACGGGGTTACACTCCATAGTTTTACAATACGGTGCAGTGGGCAACCTTTGGATAATCATATCTTGATCTACTGTCTTTCCCCAGGTCTTTCCCCAGAAGTTAAAGTCTCTATTTGGGCAGTCAGGATCAGTAGATCTTTTACTGGGACATAAATATTTATCATTAAACCCATAAATTCATTCCCATTTAAGATTACCACATACATTCCAAGGTTTTCCACTACCCGAGATCGCCTTACATACATCAGATAGTAGAATGCCCATAGAATGTATGGTGCTTATCACAGCCTTATTTATTAAGGTCCCCTGGGAGTTACTGTTCCGAATTACCAACCAAACTGTACGGGGTTGGAAATGGGGATCGAAACACTTGGGCTCACCTGATATCGGTTGACACAAACTATAATCAGTATCTAAGTACCTTCACTTAGACACAGATCCTTTACATTCATATTGTGAGTGCCAATAGTGTCTGGGATATCTGGTTACCTGTTTTCGTAGTCTTAATACAACTAACACAGCTTGGAATAACCTCATCAAAATTATAAAAATATTAAAGCACATAATTAAACACATTATTCTTGCAGTCCTCAACTTTATTCTTCGACCGTGCGATTCTTCGACCGTGCGATGGCACCTCAGCTTCCCGGTTGTAAGAGCTGCAAGGATTGTTGTACTTCTGATCCTCACCTTCACAGAGGTCCCTTCGAGACACTCTGGCTATGAAACGTAGGCAGGTGGTCAGGCTTTATTATGGCCATCAAAACACCTACTTGCTGATCTCTGATTTTACTTTCAACCACGATTCTTCAAAAATCACCTCATACTTCGCAAATCGGGCTCAATTCGACTGGGTCATGCGCTTCAACTGGATCTTGCAAGGATTCTCACGATCTGGAGTAGCTTGCCAGGAATCTGCCACTTGTTTAACCCTAGAGTGATGAATCCAAGGAGTCACTTCTGACACCTTTATAGCTGTTGGGGTAGATAAAAAAACAACATACGAAGGCTAACAAGATACTGTAGATGCGAATATCCATTATGCTCAATATCCTAGCTGTTCATATAAGGGTTAATTTGACCCAAGAATAAATTTGGAATTGTATCTCCAATTCTCGGAAATAAAACTTATCTATTTATGGGAAATGTTATTGGAACATGATTTTGTTATGTTCCTGGAAAAGGATATTTACATGACATGACATGACATGATAAGGATTCTGGAATGACCTTGTTAATTGTCCAAGATTTCGGTATTTGTAATCATCTGGGTTTTATCCAATATGCATACATTATGTAACATCGAATTATAACTAAAAACAGCTGTTTATAACTTGTGAAAAACAATGTCATTGTCACGCCCATATGCTCATTTTTCCCCCTCCCATCCTGCTATGAAAATGGGGTATAAATATAACTGACGTATGAATACAATTTGAATTGGTTATCGAACATGTCTCTGCTATTCATTTTCAATTTCCAGAGCTCTGTATGAGTTGGCAAATATCCATCATCCACAAAGGGCCCGGGCTGATTTTATCCCCAACAAACTGGTGTCAGAAGTTTGGGTGCAATTGGGAACTCAGATTACAGGTAAGAGGATCTTTAGCCCCTTGGGGACACAACTTCTGGAGTTTAAGGGAATCATGACGGAGTATTTCTGTCGTGTGTCCTTAGGGGGTTGGGGACCTTTACCTGCTTCTGCCATCCTCCCACACATTGCATTTCTTGTTTTAATGGGGTTTTTCACTATTTACATTTTTAAAGGGGATTTTCACAGGATAATGTCTTTGGTAGACATGGTATTTTAAGTCTTAGGTAGACTTCTATTACTCCACGGGTTGGAGTTAGGCCTTTGGTAGGTAGTAGTAGTTATGTGCACATTTCCTCTTTGGTAAGAGGTTCACCTTTGACCAGGTGTTAAAAAGAATTTCAAGCCTTTGGTAGGCTGTGATGTACCTGTAATGTACATTAACATATGGGAGACGTCCCTAGATCCCTCTTTGGTAGAGGTTGCCTTTGGTAGGTTGTAAAACAGATTTCCAGTCTTTGGTGGACTGTGGTATTTATTTAACGTAGATGTAAATTTTGCAGACTAAAATGGTTTAGAAAAAAATAAAAAGGGGGTTAAAAGGTATGATGGATGTTTGGCATTACTCCGGCTTGCTAATTTATGTGCTATTTTATGATGTGCAACGCTGATTTTAAGCATAAAGTCTTAATTGAGGGAATGTCAAAAGTACATGTAAAGGTGATGATGAATAAGAAAAAAATTAGAGGTTATTTAAGGGGGGCTACAAATTCTAGAACTAACATGATTTCTCTGCATGTATGTTTGTTTGCATAAGGAACCCTTATTTTTATACTTGGACAAAAGTACTGTAAACCCACTACACTTTTTCATGAGAGTGGGATGTATGATTGTTTATATGACGAGCCCTTTATTTTCATATTGGGACAAAAAGTCACTTCATTCAAAACGTCAAACACCACATTCTTTCTGCCCTGAGTGTTTGTTGCAGAGAATTTATGTTGTAAATTTAGAAGAGAGCAAAATTTATATTTTCAGTTGTCCAACACATGCTTCATTTTGTGCTGTAAGCTAACTTGTAGTATTCCAGTACGTCACATGTTGTATGTGCTTTAAATGGTATGTATTCTGTAAATTGTTGTATGGGGTTGCTGAGATTTTATTGCCCGTGACCCAAACTGTGAAGAAGTGGGTTTGAAATTTTGGTCATGGAATGTAGGATCAGAAAACCATGGACAAAGGTTTTTACCTGTGTTGATATGACTTTTGGAAACTCAAATTGACCGGTCAAAATTTTGCCATGCCTTTAACATGGAGTAGTATAAATATTTTGAGTCTTTAAGAGTTCTGACAAATGCAGGTGATACCATGTCTGTGTAATCTGGTCCAAATGTTCTATAAGCGTATAAGAGAGAAATTCTATTGACAGGGTACAGATGTTGCAACTGGTTAATGCAAGTGTTATACAAATGTTTAAGTCAAACGCGTTATATGGCCGTACGGGATCCCTTCTTTAAAAAGAAAAAATAAACCCTTTGGTACCAGAACTCTTAAATAAATCTGATACAAACTAAAATTGGTATACCTTACAATAATATGTTCTGAATACAGCTGTTAGAAGTTTATGCTGTGTGAATGGTGATTGTGATAAATGTGTGTTTTGTTTACTCATTTTAAAGTGTCCAGTTTAATTGTCATGTATGTTAATGAGTATTTTGCTGTGTTATTTTAAATTATATTTGAATAAGTTTGTCTTAGTATTGATACAGATGAAAATGGCAGCGTAATAATCTATTAAAGTATGTTGTATCGGTCAAAAAGGATTGTGATCTTAAGCAGGCGAGACAAAGAAATTTGGGAGGTGATAGGAGATTGAATCAGAAAAGTTTTAGAGGCAGAGGTAGAGAATTTGATCAAAGGATCTAACTTTTGTAGAGGTGGTAACTTCAGCACTGTTTTAATTGTGGATAGCAGGGATTCGCCCCAAGGTGCTCGTGGTGAACCCAGTTCTCCCTGTCAAGCTGGCCCCACTGGTATTGATGGTGTACCTGGCTTCCCTGGTGCCTGTGGTGCTCCTGGACCTCAGGGCCCCAAGGGTTCCCCTGGACCTAAGGGTAACAATGGTGAACCTGGTGCTCAAGGAGACAAGGGGAGAACCTGGCCCAGCTGGCATTCAAGGACTCCCACCCTGGCCAGGTTCCTCAATACCAACCACAACTTTCAAGCTATACCCACACCCAACAACCTCAGCCTAATACACAGATGGTTCATGTTTTTAATACTTTATATATAGTTTTGATATATAAAACAGTATTAATGCTGGCTCTTAGAGGATGTACAAGCTGAAGTTGGGACCTAGGCATTGTTTGCATAGGCTGCGCAATGTGAAATAACTAAAATAAAATAGGATAATAAGTATGCTTAGTCAATTTGTAACGTGGTATAATAGAGGCATCTGCAATAAAATAAGTGTGTTTCCAAGACCTGACAAGTGAGGGCAACTTAATAACATATGTCTACAGTTTGCTGTCCCTTCCTTATCAGAGGCCACTTGCAACACAGCAAGACAACTCTTCCGAAACCTGTATTAAACAAAGCACTTTAGAACAATAGTAATTCATTTTGTGTCTCTAGTTGTTCTGAAAAAAAATATATTGTTTAAGTGGGATAACTGTATGGAGGTTCCACCATGTATTAAAACATGATCACGCACATTCAGAACTGGTGGCTTTTTGGACATCGGGATCTATAAAAGGTTTCGGTTTCCAAAGATGTTATCAGGGTCCACAAAATTTCTGACAGACTTCAGCATTCCAATTTTATTAAAATAATTAATTGGGATTATCAAATCAAGGTTTAAGTTTAAGAACAGCATTTTATTGGGAATTATACCAATATGTATATGTTAGTGTTTTAGTACTCAACAAGCATTTATATAGAGTGAGTGCTTCTCTCATCCATACAAGGCATTCTAAAGGGAAATTATGTATTAAAATTTTATAAAGGACAAATTCAATGAATTATAAGCAAAACTGAGAGAAGTACATGTTACACTAGTTAAGAGTTTAACTTTAGTCTCTAATTTGAGTTTAGCCTAGATAATTAATTTATTGATGTTGTACTGATCCTTGTGTTTGTATGATTATAGAGACTGTGACGAGACCAATCTCACCACATTGCATTGGAGGAGCCTGGTTGCCCGCCTCCTGCCTTTGGATTATGGACCGGCAGTTAAATGGTTAATTTTACTGTGCAGAAAGATTTATTCCTTCCTTTCTGCACAGCCGTTCGGTAGATTCTATCTACCGAACAAACAGACTTCTATCAGCCTCCCCAGAGCCGTGGGAAGTCGGCCGGCGCTGTTAATTGGCCACCCATTTACCTCCCTGAACGAGCGTGTGCCGGCAATTGACCACCCAGTAGCTGCGGTTAACCGCAGCTTAATTGACTGTTACTGGGTGGTCGCGGTTACACCTAGCCGCCACACGATGGCGATGTTCTGGAGCTCCCCGGGCAGCCAGCGCTTTTCTGCCCGGCTTTCCTACGCCAAATCTGGACACTGTCAGCTAAGCACCACTGAGCCTCCAGCCCCTGGTTCTGATTCGTACCAATTTAACAAATGTATGTAGATTCGGTATTTTGTGTTGGGGGAAATGTTTTAACCCAGATAGCTATGCCATGGAGCCTATTCGTGTAATTAAAGACTTTGGCTCCATGGCAATTAAACTGTATTCGTGTGGTCTGAGTGCCATTCACCTAATAATCTGCACTCAGACCTGAGCTATCTGGGGATATGTTACATGTCTGTGTTTTATGTAGTAAATGTTACTTTATGTATTTTAAAGTATAATACTGGTTTTGTGTCCCCACATGTGTAATGGAGTTTTGCCTTTGTCTTGGGAGATAATTGAGTTACTTCTCAGTTATCTCCCAGGGCAGAGGGGAGGAAGCCAGGATGCATTGTGGGAATATACTGTGACTGTGTGTCCTATTTGTCTGCTTGTCTGTCCCTTGTCACAGTCTCCCATTTGGTCCCCTAGGGGAGTGTCCACCAGGTGGGAGACCTGCATAAAAGCCGGGCAGGTAGCCCTCATTAAACAGACCACTGCTTGACCCTCAACACGGAGCCTTGTCTCGTTCTTGGGGGGATTCACTGTATGCTGTTAGAGACTGATTGCCAGGAGTGTAAGCTGATTGTCTGCTTTTCCTGTTCGTCTGCTAGCAGCTATTTGGGAGGTTCCAGTTCGGGAGTTGGAGTGCTATTTTGTATCCAGTTCGGGAGTTTGGTGTTCTGCAGTAGCTGTGCCTGTATCTCTGGAAAGGGGGCCGATCGCCTAAACGGTTTTTACCCCTTTTGTGCAAAACGGTCCGTTACAGAGACCGTACTGGAGTATTTGTGCCGCCTGATATTTGGGACTACACACCAATCTCTCTGTCTGACCTACCTTTTTTGCAATTAAATCTGTTTGGTCAAAAACCATGCTGGCCGAAGAAACTGAGATGCTTACTTATGAGGACATAAACTAACTTGGAAAGTCCTAAAGATGCAGTGCTGTCTAATGCCGCTATTTCTGTATTACCCTTTCAACAATTGGGGTGTTGCACAGAGTATTGTGGTGAACATCCAGGAAACAGAAGAATTAAGAACTATGTGGAAGCTGACATTGTCTTGTTGTCAGCCATATTGCTACCCTTAGCTATGTTATGGTGTCTAAGATTGTGGAACAAAGTTTATGGTGTCTAAGATTCTTTATACTCCTTGAAAGACTTATAATATTTTTCTGGACTATGCTGGACTATTGAACTATTTTGTTATTTTTATTTTTGTAGAGTTAGCCGGAGAGAGAGGAAGTGTTAGCTTACTCAGGCATGGATGTACTATGTGTGTCATGGATGTATGTTGAGTGTACCAAGGATGGATTCCCATGTATTAAGTGTGGATATGACTGGACTATCGAAATAGGGATGTGATTAGGAGACATAGGACGCAAGGTCATGATTGGGATTATTGCTAGAATTGCAAACTGATTAGAAATGATCTTATGATTTAATATGTAAGTGGGCCTTTTCAAACTAATCAAGAAGTGTT